GCGGGCAGAACCAAGCAGGATGATTCTTGCGACGGAAAGTGCAGAAAAGAAAGCACAACAAACTTTTAAAGGTGTTGGCGGCGGCATGTTGATACGTGAGTTGTTGAGGACGAGGTTCTGACCGAGGCCTCATTTCAGGCCTCTTAAGTTTGTGTACGTGTGAATGACAGTATAACAGAAAAAGGTACACCACTAAGGAATCCAAGACACTAGAACCCCCCCAACTCATCCGGAGGTGCAGCGTTGAGCCATCCCTTCCATCTCACCGTTCAGATCGATCCAGGTTTGCATCCATATGTACTAGGGACGTCACGGACCACCGTAGGTTCGAATTCAAAAGGTTTCATTATTTTCTAACCATACCGAGGTTCGAATTCGAAAAGTTCGCAACTTTTGAACACTACAGAATTTTTAATTTTAGAAATTTGAAGCTTTCACCGTTTCTAGAAGTTCAGGTTCAAATATTTCGAATATTTTTTTACTTGAGGTTCGAGAAATTCAAAGACTTCGAACTTTCTTAACTTGAAATTCGAGAGATTCAGAAATTTTAAATTTCTTGGGATCTGAAGTTTGAAAAATTCAAAGATTTTGAATTTATTTGAATCTGAAGTTCGAAAGTTTAGAATTTCTTTTTTTTTATAGGAGTTCATTTCTGTCTGATTCCAAAATCTTCGAAATTCGGAGCTTAATTTCGCAGTGTTTCTTATGAAAAACAAAAAAATAATATCCGGGTGTATTTGTATGCTAGATAAGGAAAAATAACACGCGCTTATATCAAATAATATTTCTTCAGCTGGGTTTGGTGTTGGTGCCATTGCCATTGGCAATGCTAATTTGTCCCACGGCAGAAGTTGCGCACATCTGTGGCTTCGATAAACGTCAACACCTTAAAAATAAACTCCTGGAGGTAGTCGCTGGGAAGCACGTATTCATCCCATCCTATTCCATGCTACCCTGCGCCCGTGCGAGGTGGAGAGGAACAGATGTAATAGGGAAGTTTCAACTGCCCCTCTTCCAATTTTATGCAATATCTAGGATTCATATATAGCTTTAGCTGTTACAAAAACACCTCCTCTCTTCCTCTTAAAACACAAATAGTATGGCCCAAGCTGGAAGCCAATGCAGGGGCTTTTTTCGTGACCCGAATGCACAATGACATGTCGTTCTGAACCTTGACGAGATGACTGATAAGACCCCTTTTTGTCAATGAACATAGATTTTAAAGATAACTATGGTGGCAATGTTCCCGGACCATTGACCCTTTGCGCTGATCAAGCTTAATTATAAAATACCGTCTTAATTTAGTCTATCGGAAGGGGGGGGGGGGGGGGCGCATCGGCACATCAAAATTCGGAGTTTATCGGATAAATCCGAATTGAATAAAATTTTAACAGCGGGTGTTTTTCGGAGTTTTTCAGATTTATCCGTAAACACGGAGCCCTAAACATATTTGATTCAAAACGTGGTTAGCAAAAGCCCCAAAACATCACCGGTGACATCACACGACCTGACAAACATTGCGGTTTCCAGGATCCGCAACCAGCAATCCGGTTTGGTTTAGCCTGCGCTCAACTCTCACACACTCTGGTCCTGCAAGTTAGTCCACTATCTTGTACAGCTCGCGCTACAAACAATCCCCCCCCCCCTCGTCCGGCCTAAGAGCCGGGAAGGCAGTCACTCGTCTGTGGGCTGCGAAGTCAAAATTATGACCACTCCTAGCCGAGCGCATTGAGGACGTGCTGGACAGGGAGACCCTCAAATCCCACCCTCTATCGATAGTGCCAGAGTTGGTGCAATAAAGATGCTTTATCCGTCCCTTTCTCTCTCTGCTTCGTGCCCTTTCCAGCCAATAAAAAACTGACAAAACGACCCCCATTTTGATGTCACCGCAACACTGACCTCGAAATGGAAGCCACTTTTGATCCACAGTGGGCAAGCAAGCAAAACCGCTCTCAACTCCAAATGCAGCTCGCGGTGTAAATATTACAATAATGTAATTTCTTGAGGGAGAGTGTACAACTTGTGATGCGTGGCCCGTCTGGGTAGGTCTGAAGTCTTTTTGAAAACGCAGTGTCTCTTTAAAGGGGTACTGCGAGTAAATTCTAGCAGCTAGCTTATTGTCTATATGTCAACCACGTTCTGGCCACACCACAGAGACACCAATTTTTAATGCGAAAGCATTAACTGTCCTATGCAGCGAACCAGCGTTATCAGCTTTTAAAGCCGCAATAAACGGCACCTAAACTCCTTTGTTCCAACGAAGCAAAGCCTGTTGTCTGTAGCACCAATCTGATGGATAGGCTCCCATTGGCTGGCGCGCATCATAGTTTCAAGAAACGAGGGTCCAATATGCTCTCGTGCGGCGTAGTTCTAAGGAACGCCGGAAGAGGGAGCGGCTGGCCGCCGAGCCAGCAGAGCCCGCTAGAGCAGACTCCGGAGTGGCTGCATGGCCGAGCTCAGCGCGGCGCGGCCACTTCACGAGAGCGCGTGCTTGGCCGTCGGGAGGCGCAAGTGGATCACGATTCAAAGCATCTTAGGCGGCAAGAGGACGAGGCTCTCCGACAATGCGAGATGGAAGCAATACGTCGCAGGCGGCATGGTTTCGCATTAACAACTTATAAAAAGTATTAAAGGGGCACTGACACCCCAAAGGTAATTTTTTTTTTTATTGTCTAAAACGATGCAAACTGTAGTCATAAACACGCAAAAAAAAAACGCATCGCAAAAAAAAAAAATTTGTTTTGAGCGCGCGCTTTTTTTTATTTTTGCCGTTTTCCTCTCCCCCTTTCCACTTCCCCGCTTCTTTCAATTCGTGACTTCAAGAATCATGAAATTTAGAAACTTTGTAGGCAACATTCCTATAACATTTAATAACGGCAATCATAAAACACGTTTTTTAAGGCAACTGCGAACGCACTACGGCCCTTCTTTTTGAAATGCCAAAAATCTGAGTCCTTTGCACTGTCGTCTTCTGGATTTTTATCCTCCCTCGGAAAACATGGCGGCGCTCGACGCATTTAGCAGAGGGCGATCGGTGAGTCGGGGAATCGGACAAAGTGGTCTTTTTTAGGTGCCCGACGACCTCTCAGACTTCGAAAAAGAAATCGTCAAACGGCCAAAATAACTGGGTTTGGTGTCTGTGTATCGTAGTTTCGGTTGTAACACTGCCGGGGAACCATCATCTGCTCGAAGCGATAGGCAGCACGGCACTCAACCAGGAAACCGGTTTCCCGGTACGGTGGTTCCCGTGACGCCGGCCCTTCTCCCCCTCTCACTTCCTCGCTTTGGGTCGCGGAGACACGTTTCGGAGCGGAGGCGCGAAAGAAACTCGACTCTCAGGAGCCCTCAAAATTTGACGTCACTCCACTCGCGCGGACTGCGCAGGAACTTCAAATTCGGCATTTGGAAATTGTTTTTTTACTTCAAAAATACTAAATTCCCAAGTTTCGAATTTTGAGGGTAATGTCCAGGCATCGTTTTCAATCCTTTCACACAATAAAAAAAATATGATTTTGATGTGTCAGTGCCCCTTTTAGGTGTCCTTGGACTTTTAGACCGCAGCTCTTAGGCGCCTGTTTCCGGCTTGAGCGGCGTCACCGTTGGCGTAACCGCACAGAATGCATTATGGTAACAATGCAAGCGGGCGTTACCGCGTGTTGCATTATGGGAAAATTTCCCCACTATATGTAGCAGAGCAATTTTTGCTAAAGTTTCCCACTAAGTTTAGAGGGAAAATTTTCACCAAATATCCCACTAAATTTAGCGGGAAAATTTCACCGCTAAATTTAGCGGAAAATTTTCCCTGCTAAATTTAGCGGAATTAGAGCGCAGCACTTAGGCACCAGTTTCCGGCTTGAGCGGCGTTGCCGTCGGCATCGGCGTAACCGCACGTTGCTTTATGGAAAAATTTCCCCGCTAAATTTAGCTGGAAATGTTTTGCTAAACTTTCCGGTAAAGTTTAGCGGGAAATCTTCCCTGCAACATTTGGCGGAAAAATTTTTCTGTTAAATCTAGCGGAAAGTTTCCCGCTAAATTTAGCGGTGACATTTTCCCACTAAATTTAGTGGTAACGGTTCCTCGCTAAATTTAGCGGAGAAATGTTACTGCTAAATTTAGCGGGAGATTTTCTCGCTTAATTTAGCAGAAAGATTTCCCCGCAAGATTTAGCAGGATATTTTCGCCAAATTTACCGGCAAATTTAGAGGAAATTTCCCGCTAAATGGGAGGGGAGCAGGAAAGGAGGAGAGGAGGGTACGGAGGGGCTGTACATTCTTCTCCTCCTCCTCAAGGGTTGCACTCAAATTCGGCATTACAGAGAATTGTAAACGTCTCCAATTTTTTGCTTGAACAGACACCAAGACGTTATTTTAAAGGAATAAACTGACTGTCGTTATGTCGAACTATCCATCAAAGCAGAGCCGCTCCGCGGAAGTATGGCGGCAAGCTGCGTGCGTGCGAGCCCTATCCTAACTTGGCCGAACCGAAGTTCCCTCCTCTCCCGCGCCTATTCAACTCCTGTGGGGAGCAGGGAGTGTTGTTTTCCAGAACGGCCAAGTTCTTACGCGTTGATGTCACCAAGTGGCGAAGCTCAGAACCATGCTAGCTTCCCCGTAGCTTCGCCCGTGAAGGTAAACCTGATGTCACGATCGTGCTGGAAGCGCCCTGTCTCTTGAGACACATCGCGCTCTCCAATGGCTGCTCTTCTAGTACTGGCTGGAATCGGCCGTTTGGCACGAAAAATGTAGCCATCCATTCAAAATACAACCGTGCGATTGTCATTAGCAGATTTTGTTTATCAAGTTTAACTCACTTCTGAACTTGAGCAGTATATTTTAATTTTCATTTCTATATTCCTTTAAGGGGAGGCAATAAAGCCAGTGGATATAGTTCTCCGCCTTTGCCAGCCACAGCAGTTGTCGCCAATATCTCAAAATATGTGGACCAATGACACTGCGAACTGTGAAGGCACCAGCTGTAGTAGTTCTAGATGTGACACTCACATTTGGCTGCGACCAAAGGGGGCTGTCAACTGGTAGCGGCTCTTTAGGGAATACGTCCAGAATTGCTCCAGAAATCCAACCATTGCTGAAAAGAAAAAAAAAAAACTGTCAGCAGGCATACCCTAGCTGTATGAATTCTAACAACTGTTTTTCATAATTTGACGACGAGCAGCCCATTTCTAACTGAAATGTGCCAGCTGAAGCGAATATTTCAAAATGATATTAGTGGATTTTAGGTAATTAATTTTATAATTATCACTTTACTTTTATATTCAAAGTACACAGGGATGGATAACGTTATCCCAAAGGAAGCATCTTTTTATTTAAAGTGCCTTTTTTTATAAAAAAAAATATTTTCCCTTTTAGAAAATACACAATCTATACTGAGACAACCCAGACTTTGTCATTATGTTGAAAATTAGGTGGTTGAAACTTCACGACTGTTAGTTTCTTTTACTGCATACCGTGTTTTCTCCTGTATGACATATATGCACTGCATTTAGCCTAGGTATTTCTGTAATAGCAAAAGTTGCAGCACATTAGGCATGCCGTGGAAAAACCAAAATCTGTCCAAGTTTAGTTCTTTTGGCGTTTCATAGACCTCTTCTGAAACTGAAGCGATCCTAGCGACGTAATGTCGCGCACAACATATTGGGAAGCCATTGACCACAAGGTTCCGGTTTCAACTTGCTAACCTAACTTCACAATATCACGTCAAGACCAGATACAGCGCTTGCATTTTCGAATTAGGGTGACTTTCCTTAAATTTATAATACTGTAGGCGTTGCCCGCCAATACGGATGGAAAGCTGAGGCACGTTTATTCGGACTCCCGACGTGCTGGAGGTTGTGCGCTGGCAAAACGGCACTACGATGGGCCAGTCGTCTTTTATCGGCTCCTCACTGCCCGAGGCTTCTTAAATCATCCGCAGGCCGGAAGAGTCATGCTGCACTCTGGAGTGGTAACTGCAGGCCACCAGACAGGTGTGGGACGCGGCAGGCTGTACTCCTACCCCTTGCTAAGCCTAGGCAGGCCCTTGCAGCCACTGGAGATCCATGCTTTAACGGGGGCTCTCAGGAAAATGAATGGGTCCAATGCAAGCGAGCACCGACTTCATTTTCATGCAGTGTTGAGACTGGTAAAAGCGAGTGAGTTGATCATGAATACTTAAAACCGAAAGAATAAAACACGGAGGACAAGCACAAGACAATCAGTTCCTTCATTCAGCAAAAACGTTTATTCTGGGCAGGAAAATGGCACCCTGAACGAGATCCCAACTAAGATAGGGTGATAAGGGGGGGAAAGGTATGGATGCATCCCCCAGTTTTCTTTCCCCTTTTATTGCCCTATCTTGTTGGGACCCCATTCAGAGTTCAATTTTCCTGCCCAAAATAAACGTTGTTGCTACATGAAAGAATGTGGTTTTCCTGTGCTTGTACTCCGTGTTTTATTCTTTCGATTTTAAGTGTTGAGATGCACTACTTCCTCATTATGACGATCAAAACCGAAATCATGCCACTCCTCTTCATAACCAACCAGGACCCATAATGCAACATGTTGCATGCAGAAAGTTTTGGTAGTCTGTACAGATATGAAATTAGTATTTTTGCTTGTACATCTACCTTAGGGGAACAAAAGTGGAAATTGGCATGCACCAAAAATAAATCTTATGCAAAACTGCATAAGCTATACCTGAGAAATGTAGCTTTTTGCCTCTGACAGCTGACAAAAACAATATTTCCCAGGTGTGTGTTTATAAGACTGCATACTCCTTTTGTTGAGAGGCCTGGATGTAAAAGTAATCTCTTGCATGTGGCATATCTGAAATGAATCCATCAGTATTGGGGCATACTAAAGTAAATTTTTACGCTTCTACTTGCTGGGCAATTTAAACCTCCATATATTCCAAATATTTTAGTGTAAGCGGAGTTCCAGCAATACTTGTGAACTAAGATAAATTCTGAAGGTATATATACTAAAATGGATTGCAGAAAGGATCATATTCTACTTATCTACCTGTTGTGGCAGCAGCTAGCACCACGCACCGGGTGGCCGCTTCGTGGGACAACGTGCAGCGCGCACGAGACAGATGGAATGCTAACAGGATGATCTCGGCTGCGGGCCAGGCTGGCCCGCTCCTTTTGTACATAAATTTGAGTGAATATAAACATGTAACAACTGGCGACGAGGAAGACATTTTCACTGTCAGATCGCCAGAGTGCTGCTCACACATCGGACGACACCACATGGTCTTGCTGAACGCACCCCCGCAGAGCTGCTCATGGGTCGGCGCTTGAAGACAGCATTGGACTTATTGCGGCCGGATTTTCGGGGCAATGTGCAGTTCCGATAGTTGCAGCAAAAGGTATACAAAGACCGGTCAGCACGAACAGAGCCGGTACCTCGGCCAGGAGATGCTGTTTGGGCCAGGAATCTCAGGCCGGGACCTCATTGGGTGCCTGCGATTGCTGGGGCGACCACCAGCGCATCGTCAGCCGAGGTGCAGCTGGCAGCTGGATCAGTTTGGAACCGTCATGGAGACCACCTGCGGCATCGGGTCATGGGGGCTGAACAACTGGATAACGACTCGGGACAGCACCTGCCGCTGTCCCTCGGGGAGCAGCTGGAGGAAGCAGATGGGGCAGCTCCAGAGGTGCAGGTGGAGCTGAAGTGGCAAATGTGCACCTTCTGGGCATCAAGCGTCGACTACCTGAGCTACGTCATCAAAGACGGTCTGTATTCGGCATCCCAGAAGGTCGAGGACATTGTCCAAGCACCCCAACGAACGGATGTATGTGTGTAGCACGTTCGATGTTAAAAACGGAAGAGATGGTGTGACCGACTGGGAAGCTTAGGTGCAAACGTTCTGTTTAATCCACGTGCCGTCGGGCTTGTACGAACAAATATCGTCGTCGTCTTTGTTGGTGGCAACGCTGGACGTATTGACAACTAAAAATAGCTCTTCCCTAGAGACGTCACATATAGGCCTGCAGCAGGCAGCAGGGGACGGAGCGATCCTGTGATCAGTAGCCAATTAGGCTCCTAGGAGTAGTGCTATTGCAGTTGGCATGCTACTAGCGGGATGACGCAGCAGAAAGCGGTAAACGTTGAAGATAACGTGTGGGGACCGGGCAAGTTGTGGTTAAGTTTGAGGTCAGGCGAAGTGGAGACAGCGGGAACAACGATCCGGTAGTGCTGTGGCTCCGAAGCTTAGCAAGCTCTATGCCCGCTCGGGCTCCAGGGGAGATGGCGGCCAGCTGCGGGACCCATGCAGTGTAATTCTCGGAGATGATGAAATGAGTGGAGAGAAGATGCCTGACCTAGCAGTGACGAATTGAGCCCTTGGTCAGTGAGCGACAAGCCTTATGAACAGACTGGTGCATCGTGACTTGCCATGTGCGGCACGCCCCACATGTTGCGGCAGCATGCGACCATGCCAGGCCAGCACCACACCACACATATGGGCACGACTGCCGGGGCGACACCAGGGACTGCGGCAGACACCAGGGACTGCGGCAGACGTCGAAATGCCAACGAACTTAGACTTGCCGTGCCGGCAGGGTGAGCGAGGAGGTGCAGCCCTTTGCCAAGACAGCAGCAGAGAAGAGCTATAGCCAGTTCGACAAGGAGGCACTGGCAGTGGTGTTTGGGGTGCTGAAATTCCACCAATATGTCTGGGGAAGGTTATTTGTAGTGTTTACATCACAAGCCATTGTTGGGTCTGACTGGGCCTGATTGCCGCATTCCGCTGTAGAGCTCACTGCGGGAAAACGTGCAGCGGGCACGGGACAGATGGAATGCCAGTAGGATGATTTTGGCTGCGGGCTACGCTAGCCCACTCGTTTTGTACTTAAATTTTTAGCAAATATAAACATGTAACACTACTTTTGCATGCTTAGAGTCATTAAATAGACGTAAACGAGTAGTTGGCAATGTATTCTGTGCATGACGTCATTGGCTTTCATTGTTAAAAATGTGATTACGATTGTGGTACAAGAACAACTAAGGCCATAGTGCACCAAACTTGTTAAAAAAGACTTTAGGCAAGGTCTCACACAGGAAACAAGCTGATGCTTCAACAGGTGCTATTGTTGCTACAGCTCAGAAGCAGCACTAACCCCATCGGAACTGATTTAAGCCTTTTTGGCAAGGCTATAGTTAGTGGATAGAGACACCGAGTATATATTGACAAATCAGAGGTCTCTTGATCACTGTTAACCTTCTAGATGGCATACTGTCCTACTGTCCTACGCACAAAATATGTAATATAGCATGCTTAGTACAGTGTCAACGAGAGTCACTGGCATAAAAAGCTTCCACAAACAATGGCAGTGGTTCTAACGAGCAATCAATTCAAGATCAATGATTTTGTGGTAAAGGCCAAAAGCTTTAGTGGCACGGCAAACTGCAGAAAACAACTCACAGGTTGTGGGCTGTATGTTGTGCACCTCTGTTCTCTGCTGTATGTTGTGCATCTTTGTTGGGTTGTTATTCTTTCCTAATTCAATTTAATATGTCTCTAAGCCTGCACCTCACAAGGTACTTCAAGCAAAATGTAGCAGCGTTTCTTTTTTATTTAAGAAGTACTTTGAAGAGCAACTCTGTGCCTCAAGTCACTGCCATGAGATTTAAAACATCATTGCTATGTGTCAAAACACGTAGGAAAGAAGACTGATAAGAAGTTACGTATAGCTACTATAATCTAAGAACGATAGTAGAGATTCAATAATCTTAAAAAAATAATAGTAAACAAATTAGATTAAATGTTCGGGGAGTAATATGATAAACTAATGAAGGGTATCTAGCACGGGCGGCGGAGAAAAGCTCACCGGAGAAAAGCTCACCGGAGAAAAGCTCACCGGAGATAAGCTCACCGGAGAAAAGCTCACCGCAAAACCGCAGATGCGGAGAAAAGCTCACCGATATTTTTTTAGCTTAGCTTGATTCTGCGTAAAACGTGGCAATTTAACACAATTCGCATTCGTCACTTCATTAAATATATGTCCTCGTTTTTGTAATATTCTTGAGGTTCATTGAGGCATATTTACTAATTCCTCGGAAATTAGTAATCACCCATTCTGTAAATTAATGAAGCCGCAAGTATAAAATCAGAACATTGTACACCGGTAAAAAAAGGCAACGATTTATTGACAGCTGAGGGTGCGCCGTCGGTAGCTCTGTCAGATAAAGAGGTTTGTTTTTTGAGAGCTAATATGAATAGCGGTGTGTGAATCGCTTGAGCTCCAAATATTGTGTAGTGCCTAATAGTTACCTAGATGTTTGTTAATGTAATCAGTGTCGGCTACGCTGTTTTCTTTCTGTTAATTTCACTAACAAAACTTTAGTTGCGAGAACAGCTTCGTCGTGTCGTGTTTGTTGTCTTCACACCATATTCGTCGTTTGAGCGGTTTTCATCGTGTATAACGTTTACCAACTCGCCCTATTCGCTACCTACCTTACAAATGACAATTATAGCTCACGAATAACAACGGAGACAGTGTGCACCTCTGAAGGTCATGGGTGGCGCACCGTAGAAGGGCATTATCACACAAAGGGAACGTGTAGAAACACCAGCACGAACGATTAGAAAGCGTGCATGTCCGTGGAAGAAAGAAGCCTCGATATCCTATTGACTGTTTTATCCTGTTTTCAAATGTTAACAAAAGCTTCAAAGAGAATTTCAGGCACCGCGGTGTTGTGCGTACCCTTTTGGATTTTCGGCATTTACACCTTTGATTTTTAGGTTTTAGGCAGTCATCATTCCGTTTTTTTAACTTTTTCCTGTTCTTCAAGTTCATAAAGATTTTAGTTGAGCTTTCGTTGCCTAGAGAGTAAGCCACAGAAAACACTGGCCCGCAATTATTAATTTGGGAGCAATATACTCATTAAGCTTAACAAATATTGCAAAAGAGGACACTTTATTTTTTACAAAGCTGACGAATTTTAATGATAATAAATTGATTTATGTTACGCACCGATCCAACAGCCTCCATATAAAAAGAAGAAAAAATATCGGTGAGCTTTTCTCCGCATCCGCCGGTTTTGCGGTGAGCTTTTCTCCGGTGAGCTTATCTCCGGTGAGCTTTTCTCCGGTGAGCTTTTCTCCGGTGAGCTTTTCTCCGGGATTCATCTAGCACACCTCAGCAAAAGAATCAAAGTTAGTAACACTAGAATATGCAGCAGTAAGTTTCAAGAGGTCATTTAAACCTTTGTCTCTTCAAGTTGCAAGGCAACAGTGTTTTCCAAAAAAATAACTAAAATACAAAAATGAATCTTACTTCAAGGCTTCAATGATGCTTTCTTCACTGATGATGGTTCCGCGACCAATATTTATCAATACCGGCTTCTGAAAGCAAAAGAAAAATTACATTTAACAAAAGAAACAGCATGTCAAACCCCAGAACAATGTTATTGGCAAGGAGATCCAACTACAGGAGGCACTTTGCCCAGCTTGTTTGCCACACAGCCCAGTGTTTACCCAACACAAGGCCCGCAGACCGCATTCCTTGTCCCGCTCCTCGATCGAGGAGAAGCAGAAATAAAGCTACTAAATGAGCAAATGTTTGAAGTATCGGCAGTCCGTTCCCCGATCTGCTAGTGGGTGCCGCCCCCTTGGTGCTTAGTGCAGAGCAGACGCAACTGTCGATGGTCCCAACTCAAAAAATGCAACTTCCTCAGCACTGCATGCAGTGTTAGGAAGCTCAGCTGATAGTGATTTGCTCCGTTGCAAACTGTTTTAACGTTTCTGGAGGATAAAAAAGCGCCTCCTGCAATTTCAGATAAGGCTGAAGAGAACTAGCCACCGTGATTTTAAGCACCGTGACGGCAGAGGGGTCATTACTCTAAAGCGTAACTCTTTTGGCGCCTCTCGAAAGAAGGTTGGACACAAGTGCTGCATCAGCGTTCGACTGGAACTCGTGTTCAATCAATGCTTCATTGATTGAACACGAGTACCGGCCGAACGCTAACGCAGCAATCAACCACGTCGGCCAAGCGCTCCGATGAAAGCCGGTAAAAATGTGCTACACTTGTGTAGGAGAGTAAGGTTTCTAATAAACAATGTTAGTGGATTGGCTGTCAGAAAATAGGTTTTATCAAGGCCTTTTCCTTACCGAAATTTACCAATTTCGGTAAGCTTCAAAAGTTGTAAATGGCTTGAGTGTGCACTTTTTTTCATTGTTTAACTTCATGATAAAAGAAGCGACACAAAAAGCATCATATTCTCGCAAAAACCAAAATTCCTCAGACAACACTACACAACAAAAAGAGAACTTCATTGCGACTACATACAAGATAACCTTGCAAATGAAGCATGAGAATGTTTAGCGAATATAGTACTTGCTAAGGCTCACAATGCCATTAGAAACAATGCTATACGCTGCTTCAGAGCCTCTTGCAGTGGAAGAGGGATATGACTGCAAAATCGCGATATGAATCCAATGCAATATAAAATGATTGAAAGGTTTACTCCGACTTAACATAACAAATTAATAACAAAAGGTACAGAAGTTTCGCCACCTATGCAGGTGGCATCTTCAGTATACACTGACACAAATGTTTGTGTCAGTGTATACTGAAGATGCCACCTGCATAGGTGGCGAAACGTCTGTACCTTTTGTTATTAATTTGTTATGTTAAGTCGGAGTAAACCTTTCAATCATGAATTCACCCGGCTTTTGGAACATTTTTGCAATATAAAATGTGCGAGTAGCAATATATGCGAGCTAAACTGAGAAGGGAAGAAATTGAAGAAAGCAGGTAAAAGAAGCACTGCTCTGTTTAATAGCACATACAGACAAAAAAAAGAACACAAAAAAAAAGTGTTTTTTGGGCTGAAAGTTATAAAGTCACTCAAAACCTTTCTAGGCATGATATTGTGGCATTGGTGCAGTCCATTGACCAGAAAATCGGTAGTGGGAACAAAACAACGAGTTCTGAAAATCGGGATTTCGAAGGAATATATATGTCTATAGTCATTGGTGTGTTTCATTTTGAACACAGAGATCACATGAAGGTAGTACATGTACACCATGCTCAGAAGTCAAGGAGACATCATGTATGACATAATACTATTAGCATAACGTTTTTTACACACTGGTCAAACTGGGCACTAAGTAAACAATCGGGTCTTGTAACAAAAAAGGGCAGTCTTGACAAAATCACAGAGTTCAGAAATTTTTAAGATACCTACTTGTCAGATTGTGATAATTTGTGTTCAGAATGAACAGAAGCAAAGCTAATTAGTAAAGAGAAGGACCAGTATAAGATGACATTAAAAGAAATTAAACTAACAGCATCATGCAAGCACTGGCAGTAATTCTATTATGTACCATAGAAGGGTGTGTACTTGGGCTAGTTGGTTATTCATGAATAGGAGGTAAAAGCGCTAAAAACCACTTGTCTTTTTGATGTCACGGTGTATATATGTGTATGTGTTTTCAGTAATAAACTTCAGTTGCAAGTTAGCGCTCTGTGGTGTTCGTCATTCTTCAACTTGTCCGTCGTTTTTTAGCGCTTTTACCTCCTATTTATTATGTACCAGTGTACATAGGCTGACGACCTGTACCGCGACTCGCGGGACTGTCCCGCATTGAGGGCTCGTGTCCCGTGTCCCACAAGAAATTCCAAAATCTTCAAAATGTCCCGCATTTTATAGTGCAGTAAAATTAACTCTGCAACTCATGGCGCTGCCGAACAGTAGGGCACGGGGAAGCACAGATGTCGCTGGTAATCATGTAAATCGAAATGGTACCCCATTTTCTATACAAGCATTGTGGGAAGCAACCGTCGTTCTTGCAGGAGAACCGACACGCATGCTCCGTTGTGCCTCTCCCCTTGGCAAAATATTCTAAGAATTGCTCACCAAAAGTTTTAATATAAAATATTGTAATTATTTTGAAATCACTGTGTCAACGCGAAAAGGTTGCTGTGGATTTTTGTTTTAGTGAAGCAGCCATACAAGGCAAAAAGCCTACAACTCGCAACGGTCGAAAAAGAATATAATGTTAAAAATTTGTGTAGGACCATGTTGATAAATAAGCGTTGACAGGAAACAATAACCCAAAAAAGATATACTGTTTCTTATTTCCATTTGATGCATTGAGTTCTGCTACAGTCGATTTTTATATTTTCAACTTCGACACATTAATAACACATTTAGCATAAAAGATATATCACTGGGAGTGAAAATTAATTGAGCTTAATGAGCGCAATACGATTAGCAGGTGTATAAACAGCACAGGATATTATATGTGTTAACAGAGCCTGGGTTCGTGGTGCGTGTGTTAATAAATTTCCTCTACCCCCCCCCCCACCCCCCCCCCCCTTGCGTGTCCCGCATTTCGCTAGCAGGAAGGTGGTCACCCTAAGTGTACAATCAATGGCATATTTTTTTTTGTTGCAACTTTTTTAGTTTACCTATGTGGGTTCAGATAAATCCTTGTCATATTGTTAAGGTCTCAGCACATTAGCAGTGATGTGATTGGACTAAGCCATTTTGGAGCACCTTTTGGAGCAGCCAAAACAGTGTTTTGGAGCAGCAAAAGTGGCCTTTGGAGCAGCCAAAACAGTGTTTTGGAGCTAAAAAAAAGTGACTTTTGGAGCATATATTCTTAGAAAAATAAATATTTGTTTTAAGTGCTGGACAAACGAAAGGCACTATGTGTTGTGTTGTGACGTGTTGGGGCGGAACTCGCTGCTTGTGTTTTTGCTGCTGAGACATCCCACAAGTATACAGTGCTGTAAGCGTTGCCGAGCAATTCCAAAAAAAAAAAAAAAATTGCTATTGTTTTACTTAGGGTGCTTTCATGTGCGCTTTGCTTAGGGTGGTGGCATCACGCCATTTTGTCTCACACGTTTATTTTTATTTTTTTGTTCAGAAGCGCATGAAAGAGCGTGGCCCTGCACGCGTTTGTGGCGTTGACTGTATTATGGCGACATTTTCTTTTCGTTGATTTCTTTGTATTTTCCCCGCGAGCGCGTGCTGTCGGCATCGGGTACTACAAAGGGTGGCATCACCCTAAACAGAAGGACATTGAGGCACCCTAGTTTTACTGCTTCCTGACGTGGCAGATTTTTATAAAAAGTACCGTAAGCAAATGTCAAACAATGGATTGCAAGCGTCCCGGCTGGTGCATCTCGTGCAATCATGTTAACATGCACGTGAAGGCAACTTCGGCACGTGCTTCGTCGCGCGAGCGGAGACAACGGCTGTTCGACCGAAACCGAAACCATGCCACTCCGCTCCGTCGCCAACTGGTTCCCAAAATAGTAAGCAAAATGTAACTGTCCAGCATACGACAATAAACAGTCCAGCGGCGCGTGCTTGCCAGGCTGGCAGGCGAGGTACAGGCTATACACTCAGAAAAAAAGAACCCGAGTGTATCGATGCAAGACATTGCGAATCAGGGTCAAAAAGTTCTTGGGCCGCTTTGTGCAACGACTGAACTCGAGACAAACAAGCGCGGTGTGCGGGTTCAGCATGCAGACATTGCCTTCTTTGCTTTAGCTCACTTCTCGTCATCAACTTTTTTCGCGGCAGATTTTTCACGTACCGGGGTCCCTCTCGAAAGAAAGCTTATCGAGAGAAACCTAGGTAATCGAAACTTCGCCAAGCAGTCATTGAGTTAAAGAGGGATTTTTATAGCAGCGTATGATTTAAACAAGAGCAGGAATGTCGATGCGTTTCAGTTTAAAAAGCGCCATATCTGCAGCGACGTGGGGACGGCAACACACGACGTCGCGCGACCACGGCTACTGTGGTCGCGCGAGCGCTTCAGCTCACAAAGTAACTCGCCGCGCAAGGAACTCTCGCCGCGCGGCATGTCTGGCACTCGGCACACTAACATCGGAGCGTCCGCACAGGCCCGCGTCTATCGCTAAAAAAAAAAAAAAAAAAAAAAAAAAAAAAAGTAAGAAAAACGCCAGACGAGATTCCCGAGACGACGAGAGCGCGAAACGCGTGACGACGGGAAAAATCATGCAAGACCGAATAGACGATTGATGCGGGCTACTTTGTGTCCGGCGGCGTTTTTTGTGCCACCAAGCTCATGCATGCTCAATTACGGTTCTGTTTAGTTTCGTTTTTGAAAGGCGACCAAAATTGGTCCTTTGGCACAGGCTTGGCGCAGATTAGCCACATTTTGGCGAAATGTAGCAGGATGTAGCAGGGTTAGCCCCTTGGCGCAGTTTGGCGCAATTGGCGCAGCAATCACATCACTGCATTAGGTGGGGTGACTAGGCGTTCTGGGTTGTACCTCGTTCTTTATAGATAGCTTTTGTAGGAAAGCTTTACATTCCCGTTAGAGTTAACTTTCCTGACTTGCAACAACTGCTTGTCCTCTTAACAGTGACAGCTGAAATTCAGATTGGTGGAGCCTTTTGCGCCAAGTCTAATTACTAGCAACGTTCAACAGAATGCAAATTTTTAAATAATACTTGTGAGAAATAAGCTAATATCTCAGCACAGAGATGGTACTAGAGTGCCACACCTCTGCATCTGTCCTTATTTGTCCGGGGTAGAGGTTCTAAACCATTGATGTTTTCGGACCCCTTGAGGATCAGCGAAGGTGATGGGGGACAACGTTCGTTGTGAGGGGATGGGAAAGGTAAAGGTTAACCATGACAATGATTTAATTTATGGATATAACTAAAAGCTAGTGTGAAGTAGGCTTCTCTCATTGACATTGAGACGAGAAAACTAACCCGATAATTGGAACGATTCTTCTCAATCTAAAAGTATACAACGTTCATTGCTGGGCTTCACTGATGAGGCAAGTCTTCGCTGACACCAGAGGGTCTTTGGACACCTATTTGAAAACCACTGGTCTAGGGGTTTCAAGTATGGTAAGGTTTTGCCCAGTACTCTCCATTTTTACTCCTTAATTTGTCTTAAAGATGCACTAAATACGTTTCTGAGATTGTCTGTTCTTGGTGATAACTTATCTTACGGGCTCCAAGCATCCTCGAAATCCAAAAAGTATGCTTGTGCAACGTATATTTCCCTACTAAAACATGACAGAAGTTTGTACCATGCCTCTTTCCGAGCGGAGGCTAGCGACAGCGCCTCCGCTGCCGGTGCCTCCGCTTGCGATTGGGTGAAGTGTGCTCGTCGTCACGCCACCGGCGCCTCCGCTGAATTCGGTGCTCCAGATTTTTCCGCTCAAAAGGGGAAATGACACAAACTTCAATCACATTTTTAGTAGAAAAACAGACATCGCACAAGCATAATTTTTCAATTTCTTGGATGCTAAGATCCCGTAGAATGAGCTGTCACCAAGAACAGACAATCTCAGAAACGTCTTTAGTGCACCCTTATGAATCATTAATTACCATTTTTGCAACTTCAGAGGAGGCACAAGACCATGTGGAAGTGACATAAGGAAGAGAAGCAAGGAGCCGCCGGCTATGCAAGTGTGCAACGAAAATTGGCGCCGCCTGGCAGCCGAATTAGGAAGCAGAAAAAAGGGAAATATTTGCGTGCCATATTTGCGTGCCATCGGAGCTATGAATGGCCATGCTGTGATACCCCTGTGCCTGCTTTATCAAGTGGAAGCCTAATCTTCCTTTCCTTGTAAGTGTTGCAAGGTTGCTAATCATGAAGTGCTATATAAAGAATATCCCACAGTGGTTGCTTTCATCCTTTAGCAGATTGGTTCTCAAACTCTTGGCCACCATGAACTCCCTGACCCCTTCACGGGCCGTTCACGGACCCCCAATGCATTTTGCATAGACATCTTGTGAAATGGCATAGAAGATTCTTTTTAGAATGTTTTTTCTATTTGGCACAGACCTCCATGAACGCTCGCAAGGACCCCTCGCGGTCTCCAGGCCCCAGTTTTTGAACCGCTGCCTTAGTAAGTACTAGAAAACCCGAGTCTCCTGGCAAGTCCCTGGCACCATTTACATTGATACTGTGTACAAATGAACTCAAGTGTACCACAGATTACTAACCCAAAGTCATCTTCAAGTTTTGAGGTGCTGCCCACAAACTGTTGCAATTGTTGGAACCAACAGTGCATAAACCATAGTCGGTGCAAGGAGCAGTACAAATATATGCATAAGAACTTGGCATTTTATAATGTAACAGCAAATAAAGGCAACTTGAAAGCATACAACTGGTGCACTTAATTGTGGCTCCCATGAAAATTGTGTTCAGAACAGAGTTTGCCAGTAAAAGAATAAATCAAAATGTGTATTTCTAAAAATTTCATTCATTGAGAAGAAAACCCCTCTTTTATTGATCAGTGGCTTATTTATTTTTAATTTTTCTGGGGGGCAGTTTGAGGTGAATAGGCCGCCTATAACTTAGGGCACGGTGGGGGAGGGGGGTAAAATGCATGCATTTATTATAAAGTCGGCAAGATTTCTGAAAAGAGGGGAGGGGGCCCGCTTATGCACCATAAGCACCTCCCCTGACTGTGAAACTGGTCTACATGACAAAGTGCTCACTGATCAGTATGATATTCTGTCAGACAATGGGTATGTGCCTAAATTAGCAAATAATCCTAAAAGCCTGACAAAGTAAAAAAAGAGCTTACCTTTTGGCAATTTTTGAGTACCTCATCATTCAGCATACCAGTGGTGTTTGGTGTGCTTGGAAGGGCATTCACAATGTAGTCACTGTTCTTAAGCAACTCTGAGAGTTCACTATGAATCCTGCAACATATAACAAGTGCATTGATACACTGCATAGAAACAACCAAAAAATATTTCTCAAAAACATCAAAGATAAGTCAGGCACTAGTGTTTGACTACACAACATTCCCTAGGCCATCGCTCAAGCTCCCCTTCTACCACTCGTGGCAACCGCGTGAAGGCACTCGGTTAACAGCGTCAGGCTGGTCCGACTCGATAGGGTCTGCGTCATCTGCTTCGGTCAGTTTAGCGCTTGGCGATCGGCACAATTCTATACTCTTTGCCACGAAAATTTGTTGAAATAACCTAGTACTGTTGTGTGCCTCTATGAAGTCGGATGAAAAGAGGATGCCTGTAGGGCTTTCTTTTCATGATGTCCCTGCTCACACTAACCTCAGAAAAACGAAAAAGACTTTGTGCAATAAAGGCTTTTTGCAATACGACAACGCAGCTGGACGCCAACATCCGACAACTTGCTACTCAAATCAAAGGTGTGCAATTAGCATCTTAAGAAAAAAAATTTTTTTTTTTTGATGCAGTAGTATTTGGGGGAAGGAGGGAAGGGGTGTTGAACTCATCTAAATGCATGTACATGTGCGAGAGTTAGATACATGTACCATCCTCCCCTCCTCATCGCACACGTGCACGAGCAATGGGAGAGATGCATGTGCCATTCTAGTCTCCTTGTCATGCGCACATAGGTTGACTGTGGGACGGAGCAATTACTGGATGTGCCGCAGTCTTCACAATGCCTCGCAACAGGAAGAAGCAGACCGATCAAGCGAATGAAAATGTGTGAAAATTTGATCTTAATTACCCGCTATTAGGTTTGTCTCAATTTAATTGGTGGAATGTAGCCTCCATAAAAGACAAGCAATGCTATCGCATTACGACATAGTCTGTAACAAAGCACCGTAGAAATACAGCCTCATTTTTAAAGAAATAAACCATGGTGACTGAGAAAAGGCTACATCAAGCAATCTGGCACTCACCGCTCTGTTTGACAGCACTAATATCACTGCACATTTTGTGCACTAACCTTTTAGATTTCCCGTAATTTGCCGGTATAATTTGTGTTCGCTTACGTTTTTGGTACAAACAGCGTAACAAAATAGTGAAAACAAAACAGCAGCAGCATGATTTTGATCTAGAGAAGAGGCACAGAGGAGATCATCGGTCATTAATCGCCACTGCCACCACTGCCGCATGCGTAGCGTGGTACAGCGGTACAGCACTCGCGGCGGCCTATGGTGACCAACGACTCAATTTCAGTGGAAGAGCTGCTGGCAGGACATTTTAGTTGCAGCGACGGTGACGTCAAGGCGTCACACTCAAGACTTTACGCAGAAGTATGAGGTCATCATCAATCGTAAAGTGAAGGTTGCAACACCTGCTTCTTTGGGTGCCATCTTGATGCAACTAGCTACAGTCTGCTGTATACCCGAGGCTATGGCCCCACACCCTCAAGCAGCCGTGTGCACTGCAAGAGGCAGACAAAAGGGGCGCAAAGCGCTTTGCACGACACACACAATCCAAAACAGCGGACACATGGAACCCGCAGAGCTGACCTTGTGTTCGGTGCATGTACCGTACAAACAGCTGCAACGGAAAAAGATTAGCACAAGTGACCGATGAGCGGAGCGACAAAATCGCAAGACGCGGCGCCACTGTTCTCGATCGCGTTGATAGCGAGAGTGCCAGTCACGATCCATGTTTCAACGCACGGGTGGCTGGCAGAAAATTGAGGGATAAGATAGCTTAATTCCAAAATGCGGGTTTTAGGATTGGCTGCTTTTTGCCGGCCGCCCCCGCATTGAGACATGGAACGTGACTGGCACTCTCGCTATCGACGCGCTCGGGAAGAATAGCGCCAGCGCCGCGTGTCGCGATTTTGCCGCTTCGGCTGTCAGTCACTTGTGCTAATCTTTTTCTGTTGCAGCTGTACATGGGATTTCTTTGCATATGCAAAAGCTATGACCTCCTACTATACTAGAGTTCTCCACTAAATACCAATAGATGCACATACAAGTGTGTGTCCCATCTTAATATATCTTAAAAATTCACCTACCATTTACTGTTTCGATAATACTCATAATCTTAGCTGTACCTTTGTGTAAGTATCTGGATATTTATGTCTTGGAGAGCTATTGTAGACTACCAACAATGTTAATTGCATATACAGTAAACTCTCACTTGAGTAAACTTCAAGGGACCCAAGGAAATACTAGTTCACTTAACTGAAATTTCACTAGACTGAATATACTCAGTAGAACATGGAACACTTAGAATACGTCGAGTCAAAAGTGTGAAGTGCGATTTATGAAGTCATGCATATCGATATATACAAAGTGCATAACAGTTATGTTGCGGCCTTTCTCATTTAAAAAAAGAAAATCAGTAATTTTCATTTGCATCGGCACTCTTAAAGCCCATGAAGTAACAAAGCTGTCTAGAGAGTCTATGTTTTTTTGCACTTCCTGTGGCACAGCTTGTAGCTGCGATGAAGCCATACCGCAACGGCATCGTCCACTGGCTTGAAATATCCCGTGCAGAGTCGTTTCCTCTTGGGATTGAATGCAGTTTCTCCTTCAAGCTTCGAATTTTGCTTCATTATCGTTGACAACATCGACAGCGGAATCCCATAGTCCTTCGCAATGTCCACTTGCCTTTGACCGTTGTCCAGACGCTGAAGGATTTTGACTCGAGCTTGTCTGATAGAGACAACCACTTCCGTTTCGTCGTACTCATTACGAAAGTGGATGCACAAACTGCCGTCCTGCCGTTGTTACCCAAAATGAAGATGGCCGAACAAACCGATGATGAAGAAAAAACAGACAAACCACATGGTTTGTTTTCATCTACCACACCGCCGCTTTGCACTGGCGGCACTGTAAATGACAGCGATGATAGCCGATGCCCGTGACAGGGCAGCAGGCATCGGCTATGCTACCCCTGCAGAGCACAAAACTTAGTTGAACTGATTGCAAAAATAATCCTGGGTTCACCAATCAAGTTTGTTGAAATCAAATACTCGCTATTCTAAAATTCATTTTTCGTTTAGCTGAAACATTTTTGCATGGAATACATAGGAAAACTGCCAAGATTTTTTTAAAGTTCATTATTCTGAATTTTTTTTTAGAACGACGTTCACTCAAGTGAGAGTTTAGTGAACATGGTTGCCTCTAAAAAAAAAACACTTCATTACAAAACACCTGTTTTCAGTAAGATGGAATGCGTTGCACTTATCTAGGACTTAATTTTTTAATCACTCATTTTAGAATTGGGAGCTGTTTAGAACAGTTAACTGCATTTAGTATCTTTAGAATTCATCTCTCATTCAAAGATTAACTACCATGCTCCCCAGTACCTGCTAGTGCCAACTGACCTCGATACAAAGTTGAAATATTATTTTTTTCCCCAAAAGCCCTCTGAATTGGGATGACCTTCCCACACATATCTAAAATTGTAAACTTGTTGATACCAATAACAGTTGAAATGCCATGATTAATTTTTATTGCTGTAATGACAACGTTAATTGTTCTAGAGTTGTCTCACTGCTGTCTACCTCTTTCTTGCTATTTATTTTTCTATAACCCACTCCCCTCTGCAATGCCTCTAGCCTTAAGGGATATAAAATAAATAGATTAGAAGTGTTTGTTTTCTTTCAGTAGCACCATTTTCAGTGATCCTGAACTTTTGGGATGCTTCTACTGAATAATACAGCTCTTAGCTCTGAATAAAGATATCACACAGTGTGTGTTGCATTCCATAAACCTCGAATAAATTAGTTTTAACCCAAATTTTGCAAGGTCTGCTCCAGGGAAGTTTGCCGGTGTAATTGGTTTCTACCCGAAAACATCCAACCATAGATATCACCCTTGTAAGATGCATGTATATCAGGGGTCTCAAACACATGGCCCGCGGGCCGCAGTGGCCTGCAAGCATTCCACGTCTACGAGCCCTCGTTCCCATGCCTCGAACGCTACATGCGCCATAAATAATAGTTTTATATCGTTAATTCATCTCCGCTCAAAAGGGAACTCTGCTTTCACACGTTTTGCACTATAGCGCTTATCGTTTCGATGAAGAACAAGGCTTTGTCGAAATATGACCTTCTTATTCTTTTCCCATGTAAATCAACCTGAATGGTAATAATAACATTACTAGGCTACAAGCGCAAGCTCTTTGCCCAAAGAGGTGCCTCGGCTGCACAAACTCTTGCAGGAGCAACTGCCAAAAATAAAGCTATGAGCTCGGGCTCCTAGTGTCAAATAATACCTTTAAAATTAATAAAAACTTCTTATAATGTTGCTATAAAAATCGCCAGGAAAGCAGAAACCGCCGTATGAAGAGAAAGTTTTCTATGCCCGTTGAGCCTAGTGAATTGCAAGGCAGGGAAAGGACGGTTTGCTTGCTCTCGTTCTATTGAAAACTGCCAGTACTGTGGTGTGGCGTTGTTTTAAATCTTCTTGCAACAGCAAGTGTGGGCCTAAAGTAGTCGTATATGCAAATGAAGGCTAAAGATGGTTAAAAGGTGAGCTTACAAAGAGCAGACAGCACCGTGCCTAGAAGATCTCTGGCTGTCGCTGGAACAGTCAGCTGCTTTCCAACGTAAAACACCACTGCTGTTGTGTGTGTGTTTTTTTTTTCTTAAAATAGCAACATATTGCCCCCTCCCCCCCCTCCCCCCCATTGGCCCTCGCCCATTCGGGAGTGGGCTATCTGGCCCCCACACTTGAATGAGTTTGAGACCCCTGATGTATTTAATGTCAAAACTCTTACATATCAAATGACGACCGTGTCAGTTCCTCCAAACTTCTCCTCCTTCGTGCAAGTCCATGAACTGCCGTGCCAAACCGCTTCAACGTGCTCGCAACTGAAAAGTGGAAATAAGCAATGTAAAAATGGTCAACCATCTACATAAAAACGGGTGGTACATGCACAAGTGAAGACACATGTCCATGGCCCTGAAGGCAGTCAGACAGAATGAAACAAGCTTTTATGGCACTGAACACTACCAAAGAAATCTGAAAGCATGTTCATAGACAGCTTCACAGGCAAACAGAAGTGTGAAAGCTCAAATGAAGCTAATGACGGTAGTATAAACACACAAACTAGAAACCAAAGACTGTGTAACACTTAATGACACTATGTAACACTTAATGACAGGACTACTGAGCAGCACTACTGCAACACCAACTGAAACACCCAATAAGGTTGCATGGTCACCAGTGGTATGAGCTGGAATGCGAGAGCCACGGCAATAAAAGTGCTTCAGGTGGCATAACGTTGCGCTTCCGCCAAAGAGCCACAGTGTATAAAATCGGCACACGATTCTCTCCCCTGTCGCCAGGGCGTGCCACCAACCCGGAGGCTGAGGAGGCTGTCCTTTCATGAGTGGTAATGTGCGCCGACCTACAAAGCCACATAGTTTACGCGGTTTTCGCGTGGTTCTTGTATTGTTTCTGGCCGGTTTCAACCTGCAGAAGTTGCCGGCAACGGTGAAGAAGTGCTTTGTGCCACGGTGCAATGCAGGTAATGAGACGTGCACAGAGAAGCTATCCCTTTTTGCTACTCAACAAGGAAAAGGACCGCCTGAAGGTTTGCCATCACACGATCCCACGCAAAGACTGCCAGCTGCAGCTGACAGACTTCATCTGCGAGAGACATTTCGAGACGAAGATTGTGACCAAACTGTGAAAAGCTGTCTACAAAAGCCACGTTCTCATAAGTGTACTACGGAAAGCCGCTCTGGCGAAAGATGTGGTGCCAACGAAGTTCCCGGACTGCACCAGTACCTAACAAAAAAAAAAACAAGAACAAAAAAAATTATCTGCATGTTTGGCTACTTCGCCAAACACAATTAAATGTGGTAGCTCTACAGGAACATCAGTAGTGAAAACAATTAGGAAAAGAAATGGTTGTAATATGCCTTAAACATATCAAGGACAACGTCAATATTGACATCTAGGACGACGTCAAGGACAACGTAGAGGACGACATCAAGAATGACGTCTAGGACAACCTCTAGAACGGCAACCAGGATGGTGTCGAGGACGACGTCCTAGAGGAGGACATTAAGAACAATGTCAAGGACAATCTCAAAGACGACATGCTAGAGGATGACATCAAGGACGATGTTTTGGACGACCTGAAGGACGACGCCCTAAAGGACCAGTACACCAAAGATGACATCTAAGATGACCTCTAGAACGATGTCAAGGATGTCAGGTCACATCACGTCAGCAACCGGAGTTTATGAGCTTACACAACCGGAGTTTACGCTTCAGCCACAGGCGTTACGTGACCTTCACTTAAAAGGGCCCTGCAAGGACTTTTTTACTGGTTTATATTTTGCACCAAACCTGAGCGCACTGAACATAGTAACTTAAAGGGGCCCTGCAACAACTTTTAGAGCGCAGCTCTAAGGCGCCCGTTCTCGGCTTGAGCGACGTCGCCGTCGCCGTCAGCGTAACCGCGAGTAACACTCGTAACCCTCGTGAGGGTTACGAGGGTTATTGTCACGAGGGTTACCCTCACGAGGGCTACGAGGGTTACCAACCCTCGTAACCCACACGAGGGTTAGTTACACTCAAAAGGGTTACCTTCACGAGGGTTACCCTCACGAGGGTCACGAGGGTTATGAGAGTTACCCTCACGAGGGTCACGAGAGTTACCCTCACGAGGGTCACGAGAGTTGCCCCCACAAGGGTTACTAAGGTTAACCTCATGAGGGTCACGATGGTTACCCAGTTCATGTGACTCCCCCCCCCCCCCCCCCCCCCCGACGTCACGTGACCCCCCGTTGACGTCATCGCCACTGATGGCGTCACCGGCATCCGGATCGTCATCGGCATCATCACTGATGACGCCACCGGCATCCGCATCATCATCATCATCACTGATGACGTCATCAGTCACGTCACTGATGATGTCATCGGCATCGTCACGTGACCCCCCCCCCCCGACGTCACGCGACACCCCAAGGTCACGTGACCCCCCCCGCCCCCCCAGTACCCTTCCCTCCTCCTCCTCAAGAGCTGCGCTCTAATTCGGCATTACAGGGAGTTGTAAACAGCTTGCATTTTTGACTGGTTTTTAATTAGCACCGAGCCCGAGCACACTGAACGTAGTAACTTAATGAAACTTTTTTTTTTCTAGAATTTCTCTTTAGTTTAAAAGTTATAGACAAATTAAAATGACAAAAAGAAGCAAAAAATATAGTCCTTCATGACGTCGCTGGTCGTGGCTTGAGTGGCCGTGCACTAGAGGAGGGGTAGCGAGCTCAGCGAGCGCTCACGGCTGCCGCAGTCCATGTCGACGGCTCGAGAGGGCGCCACTAAAGCACGTGTTGGATAGGCTGTATGAAGCGGGCGGTCAGGGCGGCTCGCATTGCATTTGCTGCTCAATTAAAGACTAATTTGGCATGACACTTCATTGGCTACAAACGACAGCAAAGACGGGGTAAAGATCAGTTTAGAACGGGAGCCACTTCGTGCTGCCTTACTGCCAAATCACAAGCCAAACCTGCACCGAAGGCCTTCGGAACGCTCGGAACCGGTCGAATCCTCAAGCCGGTATACGACCGCAGCACCGCCGCGTACATCCGGGAACTTTCTACGCTCGCCGCTTGTCGGTGCCTGATCCCACAACACCTTTCTAGTATGTGCCGCCTTTTCAAACGCTTGGTGGCGGGTATGTCAACGGGTCATTTCTTGTTTCCGTGCTTTATAAACTGCATTTGTTTCTTTTCTGATCTGAAATACTGAACAAAAACTACTTTTATAAATAATAGATGGTTCACACCACTTATATTTTGTATTTGGACTAAAAAGAAGCTTTTAGCAACTCTGACCAGTAGTAAATGCCCAGGAGCAAAGACTTCACATTTTGAGTGCTTTTGGGCACCGCATGTCGCCCCTGTAGGTGGAGGAGGTTTCCGTGTCATCCGGTTAAAATATGACGCACTGATATTTAGTTTCTCTCTCCGTGCCCACTGGCTAGTCCGAACCCCAAGAGACGTGGAAACCGCAAAAAGGGTAGACGCTTAAATATGATTGCAGGGCACCTTTAAGCCACCATCGCTTCAGCCACAGGCGTTATGTGACCTTGATAACGCGACCTTGAGTGTGGTTGGGCCTATGCAGCTAGCACTTTAAAAGGACCTGCTGGATTGTCAGTACCGTCCATCCAGCAAACGGCACTGTGTTATGGCAATGGCAGCTGTATCGAAGATGTTCAAGTGTTAATTTCTGTGTAACTTTGACCCCAATTCACAAAATATTTCGGGAAACCACACTTCGCTAAATTTGCAAAATATTAAGCCTGCGAAAATAAAGTAGTTTACAGTATGTGCAAGTCTTTTTCATGAACATATACTAGATATATCTCTTAAAAAGTAGGCCAATAACATGACTTATCTTCCAACATTGTAAAATCCGAGACATAGGACAAAAGGAGAAGAAGAATAATGTTGAAAGTTCACCAGCTCGCTTGCATCTTCTCTGTAATTTCTATACTTATCTTCTTTTTAATTTTAACAGTGGATAGGGCACTTGAATCTGGGGGCCTGCTATGTATAGACCTTTTCATTTTAGTAGTTGCCTCACCGGCGGATAGAGGGCGCTGATGCACTCGGCGCCATTAGGTTGCTTCAATTTGGTTGGTTTCGGTTTCAACGGGAACGCGGCTATGTTGCTGTTTTACATTCTTTTTGTGTAAGTTTGTGACACAATTATTTTCCTTGTAGCACACAACCAATGAAACAGCGGTATTGAGCCACTTTGAGGACTACGAGGTGTATTTGAGCCTAAATTGCGGGCTCTTTTATACCAATTAACTCTTTTGATGTATCTGAATATGGTCGGTTGCGAAACTCCTGACTGATGTACAGGGAAGATTACCATCGTTTACGGCCGTGCCCGATGACTACCAGTTTCCAGAAAAACAAACTAATGAAGAGACTAACCCGTGAATATAAAGAAGCATATCGACAGCTTGATTAGCAATCTGCTGAATCAGCCAGAACAGATGAACTCGCGGGTTTACTGCTCACTGTTTGGTTTTTGTGGGCACCCAACCTTTAGTGAACTTTGCAAACTAAACCCCATCGTGTAATGACGCAGATAATTGATATAAACAAGTAGTGTCGTCTCGGCCCTTTTTTTTTTTTTAATTCAGTACTTGAGCATGTTTTGACAGGCCTAGTAGGAAATTTCTTATATTATCAACCCTGCTAAAGTACTCATAAGCAGCATTTCGCAATATTGATCCTTGGAAATAAATTATTTTTATATGAACATTTGCTTACTCAAGATATGATATAAGTGACAGGCCCGTCAAATTAAATCTGACATTTGTCTTCCGTAAAATTGGCCAAATAAAATTAAAGGCTGCAGGAGGAGAAATACATAGAAAATTTTGGCTGAATTCTAGCGCTAGGCACCACTTCACAGACCTGTGTGAACAAATATTTCTTTGTTTGAGCAGATTCGCTTTGTAAATTTCGGCGTCGCCAGCCGCCAAAAGTAAAGCTCTATTCGCCATCAACAATCCTGGACTCAAGTAATTGTTATGCAAACGGCTTCTTTTTTTTTTCTTTGCGTTAAATATTGTGGATTTTAGATACTAGCAAAAATTAAAACAGCGTAAGCAAAAAAAAAAAAAAAGCGTTGTCATTATTGCGCATATCCCGAACCCAAACCGCGTTCTGGATTAGCAAATAGAAATGACGTTATTTCTTTGTGTACGCTCTTCCAAAACTCGCCACTGTTGTCGTGGCAGTTTCTTACGCGGGAAGTCCCAACTGGTTATCTAAATATAATCAATAAATCACTTAAATGACTGTCGAAATGGAAGCGAGCACGGTATACATTT